CAATGCAAAGATCAAGATAAATAATACAATGGCCACAGCGATAGCGGTGAACAGCTTTTCACTGAAAGTTTTGAAGGTCTTGCACAAGAATGTTGAAATCCACAAAGTATAAATTCAAAATTAAAAGCAGAGATGTACAAAAGGGTAACTTCAACCAGAATTAATACCATGCGAATATAATCAGAGGGATCTAAAACTTACTTTCTTCGCGCAACTCCTTTCCAACTTCATCCTTTTTCCTGAATTTAATGAGCTCACAAATTAAAATCCTTATAATCTATCTAAATCGGCCATTAATACAGGTGCAAAAACTGTTGAACATACGGTATATATTCCTCTGTAGTGCGACCTCTATCCTGTCTTGTTGGAAGGTTTGATGGTGGGAATGATTTTTGTAGTAAAAGTTGTTGACATTACAATAAATGTCGTACTCTTCTCTGCGGTTGACATTGTCATACTTGCTACTGGAATAGTTGTCGTCATTGTAGTTGTTGTCGGAATAATAGTGGTATTTGTTGTATTTGTCGTCGAAAAAGTAGCAGTAGCTGTTGATGCTGCTGAGATAGTTGTTGGCGTAGTTGTCGTCATTACAGTTGTTATCGAAACAGTAGTTGTATATATTGTGGCGTTGTTGGCGTAGTTGTCGTCATTATAGTTGTTGTTGGAACAGTAGTCGCATATGTTGTGGCCGTCATTGGAGAAGTAGTAGTAGCTGTTATTGTTGTTTCTGTTGAGGAAGTTGATAGCGTGGTTGTTGTCATCGTAGTAGTTGTTGTTGGAGTTGTAGTTGTAGCTTCCGTTGTGATAGTGCTTGCAGTAGTCGTAGATGGCGTAGTTGTCGTCATTATGATGGTAGTTGATATGGTTGTCGTACTTGCGGTAACATCGCTGCTGGTCATAGTACTAAATGATGTTGATTCTGTAGCGAAAGTATTTGAAGAATCTTGATTTAATTCATTCAAGATATAGTCCCTTTTCGCTCGATCCGCTTCATTTTCGGCATTTTTTGTAGCAGCTTAAAAACCTCAGTTAGGAATATTTTGAAACAAAAGCAAATCAATCATAGGTTTCTACTTGATGGTTAACTCTACTACCATCGATATGTAACTAGCAAGATCCGATTGGAAGCTGATTATATCATGTTTATTGGTGCGTACAATTCAGAACGTTAGTCTACTTCCGCTTTTCAAGCAAAATATCACATGTCTGCACTCAATGCACGATGCACATATGCGACTCAATATGGCTACAAAAGAACGAATCACTTGAAGTTTTATTCCGACCAAAGACGGGCTCTGCATGTTTTGCTGTAGTCCTTAGCTTTCGGACAGCAACGGAAGCTGTGTTTTGCGAGATACCATATAGAACTTCATTGAAGATCGTCAAGCTAGAAAGGGAGGCAGACTTAGAATAAATCATACGAAACCTGCTGTAAAGTAAGACTCCATTACAGATTTATTTGAACAAGTTTTCTTCAAACTTGGATGACCTGTCAAATTGATGAGCGCCAATGACTTAAGTGAACAACAGTATCACAGAACATGACATCTTCGCCAAGAGCATTACGAGACCAGCCTGTCCGCCTTTTTTGCTGCGATTAGAAGCAAACGCTAACGTGTCAAGAGCATTGTTTTACCTTGAGTGTCACCTCAAGGGGACTCGAAAAAGGTATTATTAACGAAAAAGGTCTCGCAAAGCTGACGTTAGGAGCACTAGGACACCAGTCATGTGTCTACGATAACCGCTGCAATGAGTTTCGAAAAGCAGGGAA